ACCCTGGCTGGTTTGGCTTAGTGGACAGAGCATCAATCTGGGGATTGAAAGGTCCCAGGTTCTATTCTGGTCAGGGCACATGCCCAGGTTGTGGGCTAGGTCCCTGGTGGGGGGCGTACAAGAGGCAGCCGATCAATGACTCTCATCATTGATGTTTCTATCTCTTTCTCCCTCTCCCTTCCTCTCTGAAAGCAATAAAAATATATATTTTTTAAAATATTGGAGCAATGGTTTTGGGGAAAAAACACACACCAAAACTGGCATTGGGTGTCAGAATAGCATGAGGAGGTCTAGGTGTCTGGCAGTCCAGATAGGAGGCTGTGGAATTTAATCTCTTATTAGGCCCATGTACGTTTTTTAATATGATACCTGGTTCTTAACTGATGTAAGAAAGGCCATGGTCCCAAGAATAATCTATTCAGGAACAATTTTGGCTGAAGGGATTGTGTAGAAAAGGGATTATCAAAGAAAAGCCATTTGTTCTCAGTAGCAAATAAACTGCAAATAGCTAAATTCCTTGAGCTAGAAGTTTTGTGCCAAGCATAGGAAGATGTGCCTGGTTTTTCTCTCTTGTTTTGAACTACATTCTTGATCAAGGGAGGAAATATTGCCAACTTTACAGATTATTCTTCCTAACCTCTTGGATTCATGTAGTTTAGCCTATAGAGTCTTGCTCTTAACCCTGGTCCCAAATAGGATTTATAATTTTTAGTCACATAAGCCCAGATCATAGCTTTAGTTTTCAGAGATCCAGACTTTGGCTTCATTCATGGAAGGGTAATAGTTATTGTTTGTTTTGTTTTTGTTTAAAAGCAAATAAAAGGTGGATGGTGACCCTTCAGCAATATACCTCTTTGGAATTGAGGCAGAGCAATAACTCAGTGAATTTACTAAAAATTCAAAAGCCAAAGGTCTGTGTCTTGTGTACTGTCTGGAAATTGGGTTTGCTCAGAAAATCTACGAGGAAATATAGTAGTTTGGGAAAAGCTTCAAGCTTGCTAATAAAAGATGAGCAGAGAGTGAATTTAAAAAAATAAGGGAATGCAGGAGGAAGATCTTAGAGGATAGGGAAGACAGAATAGAACTTGGATCTCTAAAGCTTTTGAAGGAAGGGTGCAAAAGGGGAAGCTTTTCGGCTATTATTCTACCAGATACGGTAACTGGGGGAAGGTACTTCAAATAAAACTAGTGACTGAGCTGTCCCAGCCGGGTGGCTCTTGTTTATGGGTTTCATTCCTGGTCAGGGCACATTTGATCCCCAGTTGCACGTTGGATCCCCAGTTGGAGTACATACGGGAGGCAACTGATCAATGTTTCTTTCTCTCTCCCTACTTCTCTCTCTAAAAAGTCCATAAATATATCTTCTGGTCAGGATTAAAAACAAACAACAAACTAGTGACTGAGGCTTCCACTGTTTCAAATTTCAGACCTTTCAAGAAGGCTAGAGTGTTGCAAACACTACTGTCAGAAGCTAACAGTATACATAGGCAGATTTACCCTCAGGATGTGCTAAGAGTATTATTGGGAGATTATTCTCTTATTGGGAGATTTTGTCCAATTTTGAGTTCACAGATCTAATGAGGCCAAAACCTAGATTTTTCAGTGTTTCCTCTTTCCTTCTGCTCTGGTTTTTGGTTGAGTTGTACCAAATAATAGGTTGTAGCAACATATTTTTGCCTGTCTGTGTTTTTTTAATTTTTTTTAATATATTTTTTATTGAGTTTTTACAGAGAGGAAAGGAGAGAGATAGTTAGAAACATTGATGAGAGAGAAACATCGATAAGCTGCCTCCTGCACACTCCCCACTGGGGATGTGCCCGCAACCAAGGCACACGCCCTTGACCGGAATCGAACCCGGGACCTCTCAGTCCACAGGCCGACGCTCTATCCACTGAACCAAACCGGTTTCGGCTAATTTTTATTTTATGATGATGTAACCAAAAGAAGATGAAGTGATCTTTTCATTATTTTCCCTTCTGGTGAATGAAGGAGGAAATTCCATCCCCTTTATAGAAACATGAGGATTGGGACAAAATTGTTACCCTCCAATATTGATGTCTACCTGTTTTCCTGAAGTAAACTCTTCTATTCTCTTCACCAGAGCTGTGAACATTTTCAGCCTAGAATTTTAATGATCATGGTTTGGAAATTCGTGTTCTGTAACTTATACAACTGATTTCTGAAAGAACACAATGTGTGGCAGTGCTGTTTTTAAAAGGGAGTATGAGCCAAAGCCGGTTTGGCTCAGTGGATAGAGCGTCGGCCTGCAGACTGAAGGGTCCCAGATTCGATTCCGGTCAAGGGCATGTACCTTGGTTGCGGGCACATTCCCAGTGGGAGATGTGCAGGAGGCAGCTGATCGATGTTTCTCTCTCATCGATGTTTCTAACTCTCTCTCTCCCTTCCTCTCTGTAAAGAAATCAATAAAATATATTTAAAAAAAAAAAAAAAAGGGAGTATGATTTGGATTTGAGATTTTTAACCTGCTAGGTCAAAGTCATTTTTTACCTTTATTATTTTTTCTCATTGAAACAATTTGAACTTTCTGGGTAGCATGAAAATTTTAAATAATGTTACATTGCCGTTCAAGAGGTAATATAAAGGAACCTTTTACACAGTTATTTATCAGAGTCACGATGGCAGAACTATAGATGCAGTGGAAAAAAGTAATGTCCACAAGGAACATTTGCTGGAGTTGGGGAGACAACATCTCCCAGAAATCAAAACAGGGATAAAAGCTAATATAGCTGTTTAATTGTTTAGTTGTTTGGGCAGCAGGAAACTGAAGCTTCTCAAAAACTTTACTTCTTTAAACTTCTGGAATGAAGAAAAGTTTATTCCGGTGGTATAATCTATAGTTGAGTTATGTATAACTCCCCCAAAATGTTATATACAAATTAAAATTTTTAAAACAACATTTTACTTGTTTTAAGAGCTTACCTTTTAAAGCACTGTAGATGGAATCCTCTGGTAAAAGAATACTCACTTGCCCTAACTGGTTTGGCTCAGTGGATAGAGCATCGGCCTGCGGACTGAAAGGTCCCAGGTTCGATTCCGGCCTAGGGCATGTACCTTGGTTTCGGGCACATCCCCAGTAGGAGATGTGCAAGAGGCAGCTGATCGATGTTTCTAACCTCTATCCCTCTCCCCTCCTCTCTGTAAAAAACCAATAAAATATATTTAAAAAAAAGAATACTCACGTTAGCGCTGACTGGTGTGGCTATGTTGGTTGGAGTGTTGTCCTGTATACCAGAGGGTGGCGGTTTCGATTCCCAATCAGGGCACTTATTAGGGTTCTATCACTGGTTAGAGCAAGTGTGGGAGGTGGCCTGATTGATGTTTCTCTCTCACATGGATTTTTCTCTTTCCCCTCCTCTCTAAAATCAATTTTAAAAAAAGAATATTCACTTTAAATGAGTAAATCTGGATTTTCATCCTTTTATGTTTAAACAAACTATGATTCTAAAGTATATATTTAAAGGTATGAACTATTAACTATAATTTAACCGGACTTTTAAAGGCATCACTTTCTTGAGAATTACAGGGTGTGAAGCTATATAATACTTAAGTCAGTGACCCTGATACTTAAGACTGTTTGAATCTTGTATTGTGGTTTCTTACTACTTTACCTTCTCCTTTCCCTATATTTAATATAACATATTACTCCTGGGTAGTAGCAAGAATAATATGATCCTTCTATAGCATCCCAAATAGCCTTTTAAAATTGTTTTTAAAAAGTTTTTGAAGAACTTGGACAAACAGCAAATGTTTGAACAAATTAGATAAATAAATGAACTATGCCAGGTCATGTGCTGCCATTTTAACACATAAGATCTCACCTAACTGGACTTAAGATCTCTTCTAACTGGACTTCTATTACCTATCACTTATTCAGAGTCTACAATATGCTTTAAAATTAGGTCAAGGGACAAACATTGGCTCCAAACATCATAGCTTTTCTACTTCAAGCATGGGAAAATACCTTGAGCTCTCACTGAAAAAAATATGTATATATATTTCTAACAAGCTTGGTTATTGGGTTTCTGAGTCTGCAGTAAAAAAGGAGACAGATTGCTAGGTGGGTATAGTGATAGCAGTTTGTGGTTCACAGAAAGGGAAGAGATGAAAGAAAAAAGATATAAAAGCGCAGTACATTACTTTTCAGGCCACTTAGTGGAGTGGCAGATAGCCCATCCATTTTGTGTTCGGTATTTTCACTTTGAAAAGTAGAATAGCCCTCACTGGTTTATTATCCCCAGTTATAAATGAGAACAGAAGTTTAATGGAATTAAGTAATTTGAATTTATATTCTTTCTGCTAAATGATAGCTGGGAAAATCTGCCTCAGCACATAGAAAAAATAGGTAGTTTTTATGAGTATCCCCAATGGGAAATAGTCTTTGCAAATACCAGAAAGTTATCTTTCCAAATAGCTTAAAATTTTGACACTTTAAAGCAGGGGTCCTCAAACTTTTTAAACAGGGGGCCAGTTCACTGTCCCTCAGACCATTGGAGGGCCGGACTATAGTTTAAAAAAAAACTATGAACCAATTCCTGTGCACACTGCACATATCTTATTTTGAAGTAAAAAAACAAAACAGGAACAAATACAATATTTGTATTTGCATGTGGCCTGCGGGCCGTAGTTTGAGGACCCCTGATTTAAAGAATAATCTCAGCTCTAGCTGGTTTGGCTCAATGGATAGAGTGTTGGCCTACGAACTGAAGGGTCCCGGGTTCGATTCTGGTCCAGGGCACATGCCGGGTTTCAGGCTTGATCCCCAGTAGGGGTGTGCAGGAGGCAGCCGATTAATGATTCTCTCTCATCATTGATGTTTCTATCTCTCTTCCTCTCCCTTCCTCTCTGAAATCAGTAAGAATAAAAAATTTTAAAGAATAATCTCAAAGTTATTTAGGGCAAACATACCTCCACAGAAGGGCATTCAGAGAGCCCAGGTTCCACTTAGCTTTAATCTGGTTCCTTCTTATATTCCTTTCCAGGCGGGTGCCACATCTATGTGGGCTTCATGCTGTGGACTGCTGAATGAAGTCATGGGAACCGGAGCTGTCAGGGGCCAGCAGGCAGGATTCGCCGGAAGTACCGGTCCATTCAGATTTACGCCAAACTCTGATTTTTCCACTACTTACCCACCAGCACCTACAGAAGGGCCTAATATAGTTTGCAAAGCCTGTGGACTTTCATTTTCAGTCTTCAGAAAGAAGGTGAGTTAGATGAAATGTTATATACAAAAGACATCAGAATTCTTGATTGTATGTAGTTTTGAATATTAATGAATCTTCATTTCTTTTTATAAAAAATACCAAAAAGTTAGTCCTGTTAATCATTTCCCATTTAGGAAAGTACTCAGTTGGAGGGACTAAATTACTGTTCAAGTTTTCTGACTAGACATTGTTACTTGTCTTGTTGCTCCTGAACTTTGACCTGTTTGTACACCTTGATTCTTCCTAATGATGCTTATGTTCTAAAGCAAGAGATTTAATTAGTCTACAGTTTTGTTCAGAGATGATTTACTGTATATACTCTGATCTCAAGTTTCAAAAAATATATCCCTAACCATATTTTTAACTCAAGTGAAGAAATAAATGTATTAAGGTAACTACAGTTCAACATAAAACACTTGGGTTAAAGTTGTTCTTTCTGTGAACCATCATGCAATAGTTCTCATAATCTTTGATTGTCAATTCAGTCCTTTAAAATACTTAAGGAACAAGGTATTAGCTTGTGGGAACAATGTACCAAGTGGAAATGACCACATCTTAGTGTCTTTAAGTTTTGCTAGTGGAATGGCTTGGACTGTGATTAAGGCTGTGTAGGGTAAGGATTACTGCATTAGTGGGGTCCTCTGTTCACTTGGATTGATCTTGAGAGATCAGTTGCCTTTCTCTTTCCTTGTGTTAAACGCATTCCCCTCCCCTGCTTCTCTTTAAGTGGAAATTGTTCACATAAAAAAAGTTGGTGGTTGTGCTTTCTGCTCCATGTGGTTCCAGACAGCTCTGCTCTGCTAATTACATGTTTGCCCCAAGGGGTGGAAAGGTTTTAATTCATTAACACAAGAGTGTATGTTTTTTTTTTTAAAGGGCTGTATTTGAACTTCTGTGAATCCAAACTGCCTTGGCAGTGACTGTTCATTATTTTCATGGCTTTTGGAACATAAAAACACCTGTGAGAATAGTCTGGTGCCACAGAGTACTTCCTAAGAACTAGAATTAAATGTTAAAAGAAGGCAAAAAAGAAAGAAAACTAGTACTTTCACAACGGCTCATAGCTAGCTATCATTAAATGCTTCTTTTCTATTTGTTTCTTCAGCACATATGTTGTGACTGCAAGAAGGATTTTTGCTCTGTTTGCTCAGTCTTACAAGAAAATCTTCGTAGATGTTCCACCTGTCACTTATTACAAGAGACGGCCTTTCAGCGCCCTCAGTTAATGCGACTGAAAGTGAAGGATCTGCGGCAATATCTCATTCTTAGAAACATACCCATTGATACCTGTCGAGAGAAAGAAGACTTGGTAGATTTAGTGCTGTGCCACCATGGGCTGGGCTCTGAGGACGACCTGGACACCAGCAGTCTCAATTCCTCAAGGTCCCAGAATTCTAGTTTTTTTACACATTCATTTTTCTCAAACTATACAGCCCCCTCTGCTACCATGTCTTCATTTCAGGGAGAACTAATGGGTAGAGACCGGACCTTAGGATCTGGAGCCTTGGCACAGGTATGATTGGTAATTACCCTAAGGGTCTGGCATGTCTACTCTTGGGGTCTTTAGGGGTTGATGCCTCCTTGTGGGAGAGAGGTTCCACACACTGCTGAACTTTGCGCTTACAAGCCTCCTGATGTGAGTTTCCAAACTTAGGTGCTAGGTGGCCCCAGAGTCAGCTGTTTGAAGGGTCCTAAATAACTCATCAGTTTCTTGACCTTAGTTACCTCAGTTTCCCTATCTTATATGGTGAAATGACTGAAAAGTCAAATATAAACATTTGCAAGACTGTGTCAGTGACCATGGAAACAGTAGTGTAAGTTAACCTAATGCCCAGTTGTCTTGCTGCAGCAAAAGTATCCTAATTTGAATCATGGGAAAGAACCACTGAATTAGTGAACGAATGTGGTTATTTGTTAATTTCAAAGAAGTACCAGTGCAGAATACTGGTGAGGTCTGCAGATGCTGCCATTTGATGCTTGTGTACCAGTGAGGTAGAATATTTGAAACTGAGAACTAACCTTGACTGTTGTAGAGCCCATGGTCAAGAAAAAGTCAGAGAAAGGTATGAAAAAAGGTATACAAATCAAATGGATTTCTGTCCTTCCTAAAGAGAAGAGTGCCTCTGACTGTTGAGGAATTTCTAAAAACTAGAACTAGCAATAGCCATCAGTGAAGAAGTCTAGAAACCATTCTTTGGAATTACTATCGAGGTCTTTCAATCATATCCCCCGACACTTGCACTGATCTTAGAACTTTAGTTTCTATCTATATCTTAGAGGCTTAAACTAGCTATATGTAGGCAGGTCCTTTGATAATGACTCAGTGCAATTTCATAGGCTTATGGCTTTGGACTATGGTCCCATGATGGGACCGTCCTTAGGGTTCTGGTTAGGTTTTATAAATTCACATATACCTAGGAATTTGGCTTTTGAGATAATTTTACAGAAGTGAAGTTGATCAAATCATGTAGGGCTCAACTCTTTGGAAGGGGCAGCAGCATTCAGGATCCAAATAAGTCATGGAATATGCCCATTGTTGGGTGCATTCTTGGGTAAGGTCTGTGGAACCCCTGCTTGCGCCCGCCTTGGCCTGGCGCCGCCCGCTCACCTGCTCCATCTCATTGCAGTCCCATTCTCATCAGGGCCCATTGGGGCCAGCAGTGCCTCCACTGCTGCCCGCTGCCAGTGCCATGTCGCTGACACCCCCTTCATTCTGCACCGCCCCCTGGTGGTCAGCAAACATCAAAGCGAGTGGTCAAACTCCTGAGGGGGCAATTTGCATATTAGCTTTTTATGATATAGGATACTTTAAGGACTGACAAGTAATCTGGGAAGAATATCTAGGGCCAGTCATGACTATAGGGTGAGAGCATGTCATTTTCCTTGCTGTGGGAGGTCTGAATTGGTAGGAATAGAAGTGCTGTATAATTTCAGGCACCTGGCATCTCCAAGAAGAGACTGAGAGCTTCGCTGTCTGACCTGTCAAGCCTTGAAGATGTGGAAGGGATGAGCGTGCGCCAGCTGAAGGAAATCCTGGCTCGGAATTTTGTCAACTATTCTGGCTGTTGTGAAAAATGGGAGCTGGTAGAGAAAGTAAACCGCTTATACAAAGAGAATGAAGAAAACCAAAAGTCATGTAGGTTTCTTTTTTCCTATTTCCCCTGCAGTATCCTTCCTTAGGCTTTAGAAGCTGGGCTGTCTCTGTTACAAGTCAAATTTATTTCTGTGACAGTGTTTATTTCTCTTAAATCCAGGGATTACTGGCTTTTTCAACCTTGAATTATTGTCCTTCCAAACCATATTCATGATCCCCCTTGATCCTTTCTGTGACTTGTAGAAATGGAAGCCTCAATATCTCTAACTCTAGGTCCAAATCTCAGACTATGAACTTAAAAATTTTTTTAATCCTCACCCAAGGATATGCTTATTGATTTTAGAGAGAGGGGAAGGAGAGAGAGAACATCGATTGGTTGCCTTCCATATGTGACCTGACCAGGGATTGATCTCGCAGCCTTTTGGTATACGATAACACTCCAACTGAATGAGTCATACCAGTCATGGCAGGCAGCCAGCTGTGAACTTTTAGAATTCATTTAGCACCTTTCTTATTCAGATTCTGGATTTTCTCAAAACCTAATCTGGGCCAGAGAGCCAGAAAAGGCCCGCAACCCTTTTCAGTTATATTTCATCAGTACCAGGGTGGCCAGAAACATAGGTGGCTTTTGAGATGCTTCCAAGGCTGGAGTCTGGGGCTTCCTCCAACTATAGGCTACTTGATGTACAACTCTTCGTAACTTCACTATGTAAATATAACTTTTCCCTGCTGAGATGAGGCCCCGGACACAGCAACTTTCCCAAGTTGGTGGTGGCTGAAAATTCCAAGGGTGTTCTGACTCCAAGGCCCATATTAAGGACAACCTAGGTTTCCTCATTTTTATTTACAGAAGCAATCCTTACCAAAACCTGGAATTACATAGATTAAAATAGAATTAAATAGCTAACATTTGTTGGGCACTTTATACCTGGTCCTAAGCTAAGCATTTCTCATTTATTCTCACAAAACTCTACCAGGTGTAGGCATTAATATTGCCATCTCTAGTGGAGGGAAGTGCAGAGAAGTTGGGATTATTTCTTACTGCAGGATCATGCTGTGCCTATTGTGGTCACTCAGCAGGTGGCTGCTCAGCCTATCAGGGGCAGTTCTAGCTTTCTGTTACCTTTCAGATGGTGAGCGGCTGCAGCTACAGGAAGAGGAAGATGACAGCCTGTGCCGGATCTGCATGGATGCTGTCATAGACTGCGTCCTGCTCGAGTGTGGGCACATGGTCACCTGCACCAAGTGCGGCAAGCGCATGAGTGAGTGTCCCATCTGCCGACAATATGTGGTGCGCGCTGTGCACGTGTTCAAGT